TGCATTCTTATTTCAAATTTTGTCCATAGAGAGTCTACATCATATACAGACTCCATATTCGCCCACATATGACTTTGCTCAACTAAAACATTTGGCTACTCTCATTAGAGACCAAACTTAGTTTGATGTAGTCAATTTAATCACCATTTAAATATTCAATTATTATATACTTGCTGCATAGTGTAATTAAAAATTTAGATGGCTGCCAAAAACGCCTTGCGCTATTTGATGGAAAAGTCGATAAGCTTAAAGCGCATGTTTAATTAGTTTCCTATGCACTTCACACACACACACACATAAACAATCTCAAGCACGCATACACAAGCTTAAACATACATAGACTTTAGCAGACTCCGAGAAGAGAGGTGGAAAAGAGCGTCGCAGTTGGCTTATTTCGTTTCATTTCCGGTTAACCACATCCTGCGTAATAAGCGGCACTTCCTGCCCAAAATAGACTTAAACTGTTTTGTGAGCTTTGTCATTGTTTTTTGTTTTTATTGTGAGGCAAATTTTGCGTTTTAGCCACAAGGCAGAAGCGAACAACAACAACACCAAGAACAATGATGTCCTTGGTGCTGATGCTGCTTGTACTGCTCCTGCTGTTGGTGCTGGAAGGATGCCGCTTGGCACTTCCGCCCATCCAGTGTTGCTTTCGAAGTGAAGTTTTTGTGCTTTGCATGTGAATTGCACGTTTATGGCCACTTTTTCGTTGCCAGCATGTCCATGGCCATAGCCATAGCCATGTTGTTCTGGCCGAAATTGAAAAGCCACACAACCGAAGTCTTCTGCATTTTTATTTGCCCGCCCCATTGTTGTTGTAATTGCTTGTGTAGGACATGCCACTTGCTGGCACGAAGTTTTATGTGCAATACCCTCTAAAACTGATTTGAATATTTGAGTTCTATTTATTCCTATGGACTGTGGCAATTCACTGTAAACGGAAGTGGAAGTGGAATAACACTTTACGGTGGGCTAAAATTAAAATCTTTCTAATTTAATAAACAGATATGTGATTTATTATTATTGATTGTATTACAGAGTTCAAGATATCTCTAATTCAAGGTCAAAGTTTAATAAAAATAAAACAACATTGAACTTAATTTCTCTGTTTTTTTGCTCAGCTTAAAACAAATTATAAAAGATCTATTCGAACAAAAAAAGTAGCATTTAATGAAATATACAAATTATATATATAGAAAATATATATATATAAAATAAAAAGCTGGAGCTGGCAGATCTGTGATCTTAACAGTATTTTCAAGTGGAGTATAGAATAGAATAGCTAGGAGTGTTTGAAAATGGAGTATAAAAATCATATGGAAACAATTTGACAATATCTCAATAAGAGGTATGAATACTACCCAATCGTATATAATAATCTTAAATATAAAAAATAAAAATAATAATATATCAAATTTTAAAATTAAAAATTGGTATACGAATAGATATTAATAAATACATATATAGAACAGAAATCAAGAATCAGCTCTCCAAATAAAAAATTAATATATAATCTACACATGAATAATAACTACCGTAAATCGTGAACTATATACAATAAACTTAACTTTGAATTAAATATCAAAATCTAAGCTTTTGTAGTGCAAGTAAATTGCTTTCCACAATTTCCTGAGTAATTGTTCATCTAGAGACTACATTGTGGCAATATTGTGTTTGCGAACTTTTCATTATATATAAATTATGACAAATGACAGCAGTTTAATTTGCATTACACTAATTGTTGACATAATAAACAAACGTTCAGAGACGTTGCCTAAAATGTTCCCAACCAAAATGTAACACAGCAAAACAGTTAAATAATGTCAAATTACAATTTAATTGCACTGTAAGTTCTGCGGCTATCTAAAGAGAGGCGGGCGGGCGGGTCAAATTAGGGTTTAGGTTGGGGCTTGGGGTTTTGGGTTGGGTTTTAAGGACTAGTCGAAGCAGCTGCTTGAGCAGCTGCCAGGACTGTACTTGGAATAATAGAGCCACAAGCGAACCCAGTTACATACATATGTTGCACAATCATTTTATTTGCACGAATTAAGCAGCTTGCATCACGCTACTTGCGCACAGTGGTATCAAGTGCTTAAGTGTGGACTTACCTCTCTTAATTTTAGTTGATTTTGAGAGCACTCTCACTCCATCTCTCTCTCCCTCTCTTGTAATCCACGCTCAAAATAGAAGCTCTCTTTTGTAATCCAGAAACACAATCCACACATTCATAATCCATACAGCTGACATATTTGGAACCAATACAAGTAGCTGCTAACATTTAGTTAATATAACAAAGGCTTTGCATTACAAATTATGTAAAACGAATTTCGGCCACATTAAATTTATTCATTTTTATACACTCAAAAGGTAATTTGTTAACCACTCGCAAACACTACCGAAGACAGACGTACTCTGACTAAAACACGATAATTATCTCTCTCCTTTGCTCGACTTTCATGCTAAAACAATTACAGCTGATTTAAGCAGCGGAATCGACAGCAAAATTACTCATAATTGCAAAGCAGAAAATATATGAATCTACTCTCTCGCTCACACTTTAGCTGCAGGCTACAGCTGTGGATCGAGCGCAAACAGATTCCACTTTTGTCCGTGTGAAATAAAACTATGCATAAAATTGCAAACACGAATTTGATCAATATTATTTTAAATACATATTTATTTGCACGATCATAGGTGAATTAAAAGATTTATTGATTTTTTAGTGCATGAGAAAAATTGTTAAATGTACAAAAATAAAACAAACAAACGAACAAGCGCGGAAATCACCTAGCATAGGAGACGGACACACACAGACTAAAGAATTGCCTTGCTTTAGTCTCTCACTGTCTTATGAGAGAGACACGTAATTATAAGCACAAATTTGAGCTGCTTCTCTTTGAGAACAAATACAATGCTAAAGAAAGTCTACGATTAATATAACGGGATCAATGGACAAATGTTTGTAGCGAGCATACGAATTTGCCAGCTCGTTCACACTTTAAGGGGCTGCTCAGTGTAAATAGCTGCAGGCTGATGAAGAGCATGCGATCACAAGTGCTACAGTGAGCATATGAAATTACTCTCCCGCTCTTAAAATAGTCGCTCTGAGCAAGTAACTAATGTATGAGATGAGAGAGTACCTAATGTATAACAGGATCAAAAGGCTTGACTGTAACATGCAGTAATCTTTGCTTTTTCATTCGCTCACACGATGGTCGCTCTATGTGCAACCAACATATACATAGGAAACAATAGCATCAGCGACCAGAGCGTAAACAAATTAATTATCTGTCACGCTCAAACGCCATCCACACTGGCCGCACTCAGGCAGCTCGCTGATCCGTGCTTAATTATCGTTACCGCGCTTTTAATGAGTTTTCCAATATAATAAATCATGAGAGTCAACTACTCAATACTCTTTAAATAATTGTGCAGGTTAACATTTTGAGCACTGTGCGGCTACTGTGCGTGGGCGGGTGAATTGTGTATGCCAAGAGGGGCCCCTTACAGAGCTTCTGTGGTTGTGCAATGCTGCGTGCTGCCTGCTGGCTGCTGCCTGTCTCTCTCCCCCTCTATCGCTCACTCTCTCTCGCCCGTTGTCACCTCCATTAGCATTCATGTGCGTGAGCATCGGCCCTAATGGGATGGGTAACAGGAGAGCGAGAGAGAGAGAGATGGTTGCCAGCAGGCTCGGGCTGCCTGCCGAAAAAGCTAACGCCAAAGCCAAAGCCATGCAGCTGCAACTGCAGCTGACGACGAGGACAACGTTTGGGGTTAACTGGCATTAATGTCATGCAGCCATTCTGCCATTTTGTAGGTGCACACTTTGCGGTTGTTGCAAGAGCCGCCCTGCCCTGCCCACCCCACTCAACATTATTCGACCAGCCCACTTGGAAAATTGCTCGAAAAGCCATTTAAAAGTTTGCTTGTGTATCTTAGGCTCGTATATCCGACTCCTCGACATTTGAATTTAAATGCAACGCATTATTTTGCTATCTGACTGCGCCTTTTGCATGCCACAATTTTCCATGTTTGCTCAACTATTTCTCAACAATTTTTCGGTAGCTTTTGCTTCCAGTCTCTTTGCATATATGTCAACGACTTGCCTGTCATCTGGCACAATTTGTTGATTTTGTATTTTATTTATCGTAGTCGGAGTCACAACGTCGTGTTTTAAATGTTGTTTGCATAAATTTTAAGTACTTGCATTTCAGACAGTGAATAGATAGTAGAACACGTATTCATATATAGAAAGCAATTTTTAAGTGCTTAAGATGGAGGGTAAGTGGGCTATTTAGTCTATATCTCTAGTTTAAAACCAATACGAAAGTTGGTACTAAGACATTACAAAAAAAAGCAAAGAAAAAATATAAATAGCAAGCATTATCATAATGCTGGTTTCATATAATAATCTAATAATATTGTAATGTAGCTTTCAAAATACTGCATATCAAATTTAATGATTCTGGTTGGTTACTGTAGTTTCAGAGTTTCTATAGACTTGACATTTTGTGAAAGATACTTAGTTATATTTTATCCTTAAGCTTACAATTACTTAAAATTTATAGCTAATATTTTCAGTAAGAAATTATTTGAGCGAATGTCGGATGGAAGATCCAGAAATCGTTTCTTCTTAATATATTTGAGTTTTACCTACATCTCTACATCAATCAATTCAAATGTAAAGCTGTAACGTGGCAAATTTGTAATGAATATCTAATGCAATAATCCGAAATGCTGTCCTTCAAATCCATTATTTACTTCAGCCTTAATTAGATATATGAACTTAAACTTATTTTTTTATAGGCTTTAAAGAAATTTATAAATAATAGATAATAATGTATAACAAATATAAATAATAATATAATATAATCAAACACTATTATTGATATTTTTCGTTCCACAAAAAAATTTTTACTCTACCTAACTTTTCCATTTTGTGTATAACTTCATTGAGATATCAATTTCGCAATTTTTGCCATTAAAAATCAAAATCAAAGTCAGATTTTCGACCCACTTACCGAGTGAATGCCACAGTGAGCGTTATTAAAAGACAAAACTGGGTCAAAGTTGAGCGGAATAAAGCGCTGTCTAGACCCGCTGACTGCCTGCAGGAATTCAAATGCCATCGCGTTTATCATATTGATTTTGATGACGATGACGATGACGATGATGATGATGATAATGATTATTGATAGCAGGTGCAGGAGATATGAGTATTGAGGCATTGGCAGGCTTTTGGGCAGGTGCGTGCCATGCGTGTCGTCCTGTCAGTCAAAGCAGGTTACCTGGCTGCCAGTCAGCCATCAATTTTTCGCCCCAGTCAATTTCAGTCTAGTGGCAAGCCACGATGCGTGCACAACAGAGAACTGCCCAGGAACGGGAGCAGCTGCGCCGGCAGCGCTCCGAGGCGCGGATGATCTTGGCAAGCTATCGAGCATTGGGTGCTTATTAAGGACGCAAGCCATGCCCAAAGGAAAATCAAATTAACATTCTCTCTCTCTCTCTGTCTGTCTGTGTCTCTGCTTCCGTCTCTGTCTCTTGCAGGCTTTGAATATGTGGTCAATCCGCCCGTGGCGGCAAAAGTGGCCTTTGGCTCAACGATGCACCGCGATGTAATGCCAATTAGTGGTCCAGCAATGTCCAGCTACATGCGTTCCCTGCAGACGGAGCTACGAGAATTTCCCGGTCCATTGGATTATGATTGCGCAAAGCCAATTGGATTTAAGGTAAGCGAAGCGACTATATTCGCTGATAGCAGTGCCCCTTTTGGAATATTCTGTATTCGATAACTTTCTCTCTCTCTATTTGTATCGCTTCTTGAATGTTTATTTGTTTGTTATTTTACTTTCTTCAATATATTATTCTCCATCCATTAAAATATTTCGAGCCATTATTATTTAATAACTATATTCTATTCTATTCTATACTATTTATCAATGTAACATGTTTGCCTGTTCACTTTTCTAGTTGTATGCCATTCTATCCGTCTGTCTGAGCGTACGAACGCCGAGATCTCGTGAGCCACAATAGCTGGTGACTAGAAATTTGACTAGTATACTCGTGTATACCATACGCAGCTCGAGTTTATTCTAGTTTTTCGATAACTCAACCTTTGTATCGATAATAATCGATGATTTTCTATCTCTATTTATCTATCTATCGAGATCTATATTACTGTATTTATCCTTTCTGGAATACACATCTTATTATTGATCTTTATTTTCTAAGTCATCTATTTATTATTCCTTATAAGCTTATTTTCCTCTAACCTTTTTAAACTACACCATTTGCAGTATCCCTCCAATGCTGGCTTTTCGGCACTGGCCAACAAGATGCCCCGTCTGCCTGTTGTGCGGGATCAGATCATTCCCCCATTAGGCACCTATGAGCCCTCGCCTTGGGTTCTACGCGCTGGCTACACCTTCGACCGGCAGGTGTCCACACTGCCCAAGTGGCTAACTCCCGGGTAAGACATTCATTTTGATTCTGTAAGCATCTCATAATATCTATCGTCTTCGGTATTACAGTCCCTCCACCTATTCGATTCACAACAAGTATCCGAACTATAAGATCGAAACTGCTTTCGGCAGCTGTCGCCTTATCTGGCCCGCAGTCGCCGTCTTCTGTGGCCCCAAGCACGATGCCGTCTGCATCGTCTGCCATGAGACGCCCAAAGGCGATTACTTCCACAGCTTCGCCAGCGACAAGGACATGTGCAGGCAGTGCATGGCCGAGCAGATGGGGACCATCAAGCACTGCGCCCTGAGCGTCGTCGAGCGATATCGCAAGCGCCAGTACATCAAGCAGTTTGTGCCCGCCCGCTACTGCGGCTTCTTCCACGATCACAACGGCACCACCGCAGCCACCGAGACAACCTCACGCAGGGAGCTACGCGCAAAGATTCGCGTCGAGAACTATTTGTATCGCTTTGCCAGCAAAGTGGCATAAAATAATTAGCAGGAGAAAAGAGTTCATTTGCATATTCCTGCAAGTTTTAGAAGTTAAAATGTGAACAGTAAGCAGAAAACAAAAAACATTTCATTTTATTTGGTATAGAAAAATAACCAACAAAAAATTTCATTAGAAATATTAACTGACAGATATAATTGAGAGTATCATATTATTATACAATATTCAAACGTATTATGTATAAAACAGATTTCACATATAAATAAAGATGTAAAGTTCAATATATAGTAAAATAAAATGGGAATTTACAGTTTTTATAATGTATGTAGCAGGCAGGAGGCGGCGTGGTATACCCCATAAAGCTATAAATTCAATCGACCTACTCAAGTCTCTAGTTTTTCTTGGAGGAACGTATTTTCATATAGGCGCGATGGACAAAATAATTGTGCCACACTTATTAAAGGTGGTATAACCCAAAGTTAAGTGTAGTCCATTTCTACTAGTCAATTTCTACCCAATCATATCATATCTCCTATATGCAATGGAAATTAATTAATTCACTTAAATCATTGCAGTCTATGCTACCCCATTTTACCTTAAATTTAAAAACTTTATTATTATTGTTCTTAAATCTCTTAAGTTGCTTCAAATAACAGTCAAAAATTCTTAGTTTGAACGATGAGAAATTACTATATAAGGCAGACCAACTTAACTGATTTTAATGCTTTAAAATACAATTTATATTTTACTAAGCAAATAATGTAGGAGTTGTAATATATTATAAAAAATCGATATTTTGGTTAGTTTTAACTTTACTTTACTTTTAGTATTCTATTTCATTCTAAACTTTAGAATATACATACATCTATCATTTCAGCAAATGGGAGCATTCTTAACCAACAAAAATAATCTAAATGCAGAAAATAATATACTTTAATTTATATATACAATTTTTAAACTAGTTTTATATATAATATTAAACAGTTTTATTTATAAAACGTATATAATACTAAATTTTTATTATTGCAACAATGTGTGTCGAGTATGTGGGGACGTGTTGCCAAGTAGAATGACATTCATCGACAGCAAGGCTACCCACACACACACACACACACACACAGAACCGGAGCTCCAAGAGTGCATAAAATGGCTGCCATTGTTGCTGCCACCGCTGGCTGCCACATGCCACATGGCTACACGTGTCTGGCCAACGGAATAGAAATAGGAAAAGGAAACTAAATGCCGGAAGTGCGAATAAAATTTTGCACTAAAAAAAAAAAAGATTTTGCAAAACTCGCTGCAAATATGCGTGCAAAAATGTTTATTAACTGAAGACGACCTACAAGAAATACCAACCACGAATTCAATCTATAGTATAGAACAAGATCTACAATAGACTAGACTCTTTAATAGGTCAAAGTATTTTCTAGTTACTCGGTTACTTTCATCTAAAGCTCCATGATTTTCAAAACTATTTTATATATAGATATATACATATACATATATAGACTGTTGACTATAATAAATATCAATAAATTCAGGATATATTTTCAAGTCTCTTTGAAAAGAGTATAAAGGGTATAAAGTGGGTAATTTTTTCAAGCCCAAAATAGGTTAAAATATGTTAAATGTTTTGTATTTTATTCTCGTCTCCTGATGTTCAAACTCTGCTTAAACAGTGAAGTTATGGATCTATGAGCAATGAGTGGAAAGAGAAAGACAGAGAAAGAGAGACTCTGCTTGTTTCTAGAATTTTCTCAAAGTACTTTGGATGGGATTGCTTTTGAAGCTTAGATTTTGGTTATAAGAAAAAGAAAAACATTCTAAAAATTCTATAACTTTCCAGTTTTATATTAAAAGAATATATATATACATATTAACCTTTTATTTAATGAATAATCAATTTAAACTACAATAAGTTCATATAAGACAACTCCATATAGCACACAGTAAAGGTAACTCTCTCTCTCGATTGGATCTTTGGAAATTCTTCATTCTCAACGTTGAAAAATTGTTAAACAAAAAAGAACAGCCACTGTGATATAAAGATTAAATGAATTCGACTACATCAACAGCGAACGTTCTCTTCTCTTTAAGCAATTTACGGCCACGATTTGAAACTGAACAAATCACATACTTAAGATAACACTATTCAAGATTTATTTCACAGACAAATTGTTGGCTATTTGCGATGCAACCAAAAAGAACAGCCACTGTGATATAGAGTACTGACAAATACATATAGTATATCAGCAGCAGCAGTTCCCTGCGGTTAAACGCAATCTCTCTGGATATATGTCTGCGAATACTGTGCTCATGTTTCACTTTATATTTGGCAATTGGCGAAAAATAATGCTGTCTGGCCATTTAGGTACAAAAAGAACAGCCACTGTGATATAAATGCAACAGATATACTCACAGCATCTATTCTCTCTACTTTAAAGGCGAAAAAACACTAGAGAAATAAATATATATACACTTATAAATATTCACATTCATATTGTAGTCTGGGGGACTGCACGCGCTATAAAGGAAAATCACTGTGATATGTAACGGTCGATTAACGCATATCACAACGATCGTTCCTTTTAGCGCATGGCCCATTCATCGAGTTTGCATTTTGAACTTTCATAAAAACTTTTCATAGATGTATATATATATATTATATATAGGCGCTGCTTATGCCACAACGAACTTCAATGGTTGTCTAGCTTTATGATCAGAGAAATCACCTAAGGCTGGACGACCAAAGAAACTAATTGCAACCTCTATACGATATAGATTTTGTTTTCTTTTTAAGTTTGAACCATGCACTAGAAATTTTATAATTGAAATTGTTGAACATTTTAAAATTATAGCACGAGTGTTCGGTCTAGTCACTTTATATAGAATGTTTGGTGTATATGTTGAAAAAGAGACCATACCGACAATCGCCATTTAATTTTAAAATTTTATAATTTTCGAACACTGGAAATGAAACACTGAAAGTGAAACACTGATAGTGAAACACTGGAACTGAAACACTCCTCCTTTGTGCTAGTTGCCCCAATTTTGAGACACACTTTGCCCAGTGATGGGTTTCCAATCGTTAGACATAACTGCACAAAATGCATCCCAAAAGTAGAGCTGCGAGAGTTCCGTTGAATTGACTGGACTTTTTCCTTGCTGTTTCGTTTCGATTATACGACAAACTTCACCCAGTGATGCGCACAACATAGAACCCGGCAAAACTGAACAAAGTTTACCTTATAATATTCTGTTCTTGTATATATATATATATGCACTGTGCCACTCCGATCCTTACACACAAACACTTGAATGTCAACTGATGTCCTAGACGAGCGCAACCTGAACTTATATACCTTGTGACGTGGGCGTACCTGAGATGGGACTAGGTGCGTGGTACCTGGAATTACCTGTGCTTAGCGATGCTTTCCCTGGAACTCGCAGTTCGGCCTTCGTGAAGAAATTTTGCAACTTAATCCGTGGCCATAAACGGATTAATCTCGCATATTCTGGGTAAAAACGCGCAGCTGTGTCGCGGCATAAATTCGCAGAAGTGCAATTAGGTCCCGAATACCAAATACTGAATACCAAATGCAGAATTCCGAATCCGGAATCCCGGATTTCAGCCATACGGATCGCCGCTTGGTTAATTGCTCAGTTAGTGCGAAGCACAGTTGCTTCCATTTTACTACATCGATCGTCCGGCCACTCGATTTTTGTACGGACTGTACGTAAAGTGTGTCTCGCTTGTGCAGATCGGCTACTGTGCTGAGGTCCTTCACGGTTTCCTTGCTGCAACTGTACTCTGGGAAGACTGTGACCAAACGGAAACCCAAACGGAATCCAAATATCATATAAATATATTGATGCAGCTTCTTTTCGGTTTTGCGCGATCAGTTGATGTTTTCCGTTTGTTCTATGAGAATATTCTGGTGTTTCCCAAACTTAACTGTACTTCACATTTAAAGCAGGCCAATCGACAGCCGAACTCTTATATAAACAGCTTCCTTTGGATTTGTCAAGATCAGTTGTCCGCTTTGGATCACTCAGTGTACGAGCTTACAAGATGATCAAATTTTCTTTTTATTAGAGATAGGAATTGTCCCCTGAGCTATCCAGAAAAATCATAACAACGAGAGACTCTTTAGACCTCATCAATATTTACGTAAAATTCTTTTTTTTTCATGGAAAATATCCGTAAATTCCAGAAACCAAAGTTACTTTTTGCAGCGCCATAGAGCATGCTTTAACAGATTGACAGTTAAGTGGGTAGAGATTAGATTTAGCTTTATGTTGTCAGCGCGTCTTAACTGGATATAGTTTCGTACCTCAACCGTCAGACCACCAATTATAAGACGTAGTAATATTCTATCATTAATTTAAACAACAAGATTTGCTTTGAAGATCAAACTCTATTTTATTCTTTATTATTGTTATTTTTAATACATGGATACTAATTAACAAATTGCTGAAAATTCAATTAGTAAATTTTTGTCACCTTATGACAGTTTGATGTTTAAAATCTTTCCAGTCCAGAATGATCGCTATTAACAACAAAATATATACATATATTATACATATATGAAATATCAATATGAATACTTTGTCAATATACTTACACAATATTCTTACATACTTAGAAAAACTAAAAAATATAATTGTATAGCATAATAATGCATACAAAATCATTATAATAGTATCTAAAACCCGCTGGGATATTTCATTTGGCTTTTCGGCCAGCTATTTGACGAGTTTATCGTTATTTTTCCTTTCGTTCGTGAGTGGGTCATACGATTTTTAGGCTTACCCATTGAGGTTCTCAACTGTATAATTTGAATATCCCATTGATATGATTAAGGAACTAGATTTTGTATGACAAATGAAGAGCTTTTGACTCTGAAGATTGATTTCCAACTGAAATTTTAATATACATAAAAATCAACTGCAATTACCTCAACTGAAATAATATTTGTATTTCTTCAGACGACTTAATGGGTAAATTATAATTATATTGTATATGTCCAAAATGCAGCTAATTTTGTACGAGGATAATTTTTAAACTTTTTCCTAAAAAATATACGATTTGCCCATCGGGACATAGAAACTATGAATTCATTTATTTTTAAAATATTTTAACTGCTATTAGGCTGTGAGTGAGTAAATCACTTCATTTTATTATTTTATTTATTTATTTTTTTTTTTTCACAGAATTAATACATATACAACATGTTACACTTTGGATTATTTTGGACCAAACAAGGCAATTAAATAAAACATAGTTAAACTCTGTTC